TATTTACATAACAATCATTCCATCCTCCATCATATCTGCACCATGTATAATCACACATATTCTCGTCAACATAGAGATTATACATCTGAGTAGCATCTTTCATATAAGATATATCAGGAACTTTCCACATACTTACCCTATTAAAATCATAAACATGATCTGTAACCTTTAATCCTAGTGCTTTAATGGAGGATAACAACAAATCTGATTCATCCATTAGATCTTAAATGATAAGTAGACTTAAAGAGAAAGAAAATAGATTTGAATAGATTTCTAGAGGTAGAAAAGGATCTGAGCACAAATCTAAGAATAAAACTCGAAAACTTCTTCTATTTAACTTCTCAAACACGAATCAAGAATGAATCAAAAGATAGAATGCGTAGAGAATAACAAATCTGAAAATAAACTTCGAATCAAACACTTTAGAACTGAGTAAGATTCAAAACTTTAAGAACTGAGTAAGATTCATGAACTAATTTCGCCATTTTAGATCGTTTCTTGCAATCATTTCTTAGATCTACAAGATTAAGCTTTGATACCAAGTGTGAACTAAAAGACAAAATACATGTGTGGAATAAGGATCAAAACCATGAATCAAACACACAAATGCAAGTAATATGTTCAAATCTCCTATATATTATTGACTGGAATGAAACATACAAAGAGACTTCGGGTTTGCTCAACCAAACTGATATTGATACAGAAAGGGAGTTTTGGGAATCTTACCTAACAAGTTAAGTTATGAGGCTGTATATAGTGCTTAAATACATCACATGCCAAATAATAAAAGGAACCACTAATATATAAGATGCCTCATGAAATGTCTTCAAAATAGCCTTAACAAATGCCAACTAAGTTTCAATATTTCACTACTCAACAGGTACCACTACCATCTATGGCACCCTTACTAACAAGGTTGGTAGCTAAAGAGGTGTTAAATCCATGTGGAGGTATGTGACATCCCCAATTTTCCAGAACCAAAAAAAAATCTTTTATTTTCTCTTTATAATCATAATATCTTTGTTTGCGGAATATCCCAATATCATAAAACAATTTGTGGAAACTATCTCATTCTATTAAAATATCTTCAATACATATATTGTTTCGAAATTCAAAAATCCTAAAGATGTCATAATTAATATACAACATATGATACAATGTAAATATCTAACGGTCCCGAACACTATTACATGTATTATATTTAATCACTCGGTATCCTATTCAAGTCTCCAGCAGTCTTAACACCACTAATTGTGATCCATATAAATTGAGTGGGTCGGGTTGGGGATCCTAGTGAGATACATAGGTTTTTAATCCCACAATGTAATTATGATAATAATTCATATTCAGTAAACATGCAGACCCAAATATTACCATATTTTATGGATATATAATTCTAACGAGGATATCTATAAAACAACGTACCCACACATACCTCGCCCGGTCGATCCTCATGAATCCTAATCAACAATCATCTGGAAGAATCACTTTTCTTGATGTATCTTTTAAAACAACCATTTTACTACATGGCTAGGGGATTCCTTGGCCGGTGTAAGTCATTAAATGCAACCCTGGAAAAGATGAAGTACTCAAATGAACACACAATCCTTATTCTCGGATAATAAGATTCATTAACACCTACAATTAATAAGTCTGCTAGTGCTCCACTGGACAATCTAGAATAGCCAATGGTCATCATCACACTCTGGAAGATGACTTGTACAGAAGTCTCACCCGGTCTTGTGATAGTGGCAAGGAAAAAAAAATATCCTCTCAGTTCCAATCTCACATACACCAAGAATGAGTCTACCCAATATCCAACTTACCAAATAACTCTGGTATGTGATCAGTACTTTGACATGTAATAATGTCATAGAATAGAGCACTACTCTCCGTTCCAATCTCGCATACATCCCTTGTATGATTACTACCTATTTATTCAACTTACTTCGGATTCAACATCCCTTGTAAGTCTAAGTTTGTAACTAGGCCATGCTATAATATGAATAGTCAACTCTTAATACGAATTTTCCGTAAATGTAATATCATTGTAACACACGGTATAACTAAGCACTTATTCAACTTACTTTGAATTAAGCATCTTTTACAAGTCTTAATTTATCACTAGACAACACAATGATGCATGTAATTAATTTCCAAAACCTTTTTCCTTATTTACGAAATACTTTTCATCTTACCAGTATATATATATATATATATATATATATATATATATATATATATATATATATCACATAATTCAACCGGTAAGTATTCGGTATACCTTAATGATGGAAAACGTAGGTAACAAAATTTCTATCACTACGTGGAAAAGCATTCAAACAATTCAAATGATTAGGGCACATGCAACCTATTGAGGATCAATATCTTTAACATATAGGCAACATACTATGAACTATCATCTTAAAAAACTTTTCTAATGAAAAATGAAAACTTAATTTGAAGATTATTGTTGAAAACAACCTTGAATCTTTCTTCAAATATTTTGGCTGCTGGCACCACAAGCGTCGTGCCTCTGATGGTTCACACCTAAGACTAGAAACTAAGGATTATGGATAGTGAAGATGAGAATTTAGGCTAGATCTCTTCTAGGGTTATGAGTGTCAAAATTCATAGCCCTAGAGGCCTATTTATAGTGCAGTCAAGAAACCCTAGATAAGTCCAAACCTAATATAATAATATTATCCTGAACCGGGTAATTATCCAACTTCTTAATTATCCACCAAGGATAATTATAGAAACCCTAAAGCTCCTTAAAACTGTCCATAACTTCAGGGAGGGTTCTAGAATGCCTATTTCTCAACTATTGAACAATTGCACTTCAGTCCCTGCATTTTCAGTTAATTCTTTTAATCACCAAATTAATTCTAATTAATTTCTGATTAAATATTAATTTAAATAATATGATTTCTAATTAATATATTATTTTCATAAATATTAATAAATTGATTATTTCAATTTATTATTCAAATAATAAATTAACCTCTCTACCCAAAATAATTATGTCCAATTGCTAGGTTTGAGGGCAACCCAAAATGACTATGTTACCATCAATTTAAGTTCATTCCAATTATAGTTATGGACTTAGACACCTAATCCAACAGTCTCCCACTTGGATAAGTCTGTAACTATAACTGCCAGTATAACTTCCAAATTGATCAGCAAATTATAGTTGTGAAAAGCAATTTTCGAACTCTGACCCAGTCAATTACGCGTCCTAAGATAAGTGAGCATATAATCCTCTATTCTGCAAGATATCAATCGGACATGAGACATGGAATAGAGTCAATCTCATTGTCCAATACTTTGTTTCCTTATTTCTGATTTGTAATGACAAATAACTTCTAATCGAACACATCAATCAAGTCCTGGCTGGGCCCGACACTATAAGTCAACACCAAATCATCGAGGGGCCCAAAGATATCGCTTTTCCCGTTAAGGCAAAAGGAATAGATAAACTTTAACATATATGCTTGCACCATTTACTTATCAAATCATGCACAACAATACGTTTTATACCATTAAGTTACTGATGCATTTTTGTATCATCAACGCACAACTGATTTGTAAACTACAACTCATATATCTCTATTTCAAGATTATAAGATATTATTGTCTCAGAATTGCTCGCGATAAATTCCATGAAGTAATTCTCTGAGCTTGGGTTAATCTAATACTTAAATCTCCATTTCTAAGTACTCATGGATATTGTAGCAATACCATTGATATGTCTAAAACTCTTCAGACAACCTACAATTCAATTCATGTCAATCTTAGTTCACTACGTACTTCGATAAGTACGAACGACTGTGGAGTTTTGAATAATCGAGTTATCTGGGAAGTAAAACATGAAAAAATGAAACATAATAATACACAATTGACAAAAGGTAGTAAACATACTCATAAATAATTCCCTATTATTTAATCACCAAAATTCAATTACATTTACTTTGTTACAAGTTTCAACTAACTATCTAACTACTAAAACTAATATCATCTTTCAGACCAATGCTTCTAGCATGTTGAATGTGTTTGACCCTACTCACACCCTTTATGATGGAATGTGTAGGATTCTCTTCTGATGATACCCACTTCATGACGAGGTGACCTTCTTTTATCCTATGTTTGATGAAATGGTATATTTTGTCGATATGTATTGATCTGTCATATTCTCTTGGTTCCTTTGTTAAGTCAATCGCCCCTTCATTATCATAGAAAATCTCCATTGGCTCCTTGATAGTTGGAACAACTCCAAGGTATTCGATGAAGTTCTTAAACCAAATTTCCTCCTTTGATGCTTCACTCGCCGATATATACTCTGATTCACAAGTAAAATCAGCCACAGTCTCCTGTTTAGAACTTTTCTAGGTTAACGCTCCTCCATTTAGGGTAAACACCCAGCCAGATTATGAATGGAAGTTGTCTCTATCTGTTTGAAAGCTAGCATCACTATACCTAGTTACTCTCAAAGTATCACTGCCACCAAGCATAAGGACCCAATCCTTAGTTCTTCGTAGATACTTGAGAATATTTTTAAGTGCTATCCAATGAGCTCTACCTAGATTTATCTGATAATGATTGACCATGCTTAAAGCAAAAGAAATTTCAAGATGAGTACACATCATAGCATACATAATAGATCTAATGATAGAAGCATATGGAACTCTACTCATTTCTGTTATCTTTGCATCAGTACTCAGGATCTAAGTCTTACTTAGTTTGGTATTACTCTGTATAGGCGGTTATACTTTCTTGGAATTCTCAATGCTAAAATGTTTTATCATCTTTTCCAAGTATGTATTTTGACTAAGTCCAATTAGTCTTTTACTCCTGTCTCTCAAAATCCTTATCCCCAGAATATAAGTAGCCACCCCCATATCCTTCATAGCGAAACACTTTCCAAGCCAAGACTTAACCTCTTGCAAAGTTTGAATGTCATTGCCTATAAGACGTATGTCATCAACATAAAATACCAAGAAGGTCACAATACTCCCACTAGCTTTGACATATACATAAGATTCATCTTCGCTTCTAGAGAAGCCAAACTCTTTGACCTTCTTGTCAAAGCAAAGATTCCATCTATGAGAAGCGTGTTTCAATCCATAGATTGATTTCTCAAGATTACACAGTCTATTTGGATACTTTGCATCCACAAAACCCTCTAGCTGACTCATGTAAACATCCTCAACCAACTTC